CCTTGCTACAGAACCAGCATCCATGGCCTTTTTGGTTTGAACATCCCACTGTGATTAGAGACCAGTACCTTACACTGCCTGGCTAGGGATGTAGTAAGACAGATACACATCTGCCCCTTGAGAGATCTTGCTCTGAAATTGTAAATAGTATACATTAAAATCATAGTACAGCTGTCAGAGAAGGATGTGGCAAACCATAAGATACTCATAGGACTCAGTACAGATTTACTCACCCGCATGTAGAATTCTCTGCCCTCGTTCCCTGATTTGATTTGGAAGATGTAATAGGCACCAGGGTAGCGAGTTGTTGCTTGCATTTGGAAGATGTCAGACGGCACAGACCGTCCTGATGCCACATCCATGTCTCTGTACAGGATGGTGAATGGTTGGTCTCTGCAACCGGGGTTTTCAGTTGGACACATGCAGCGACTAATGCAGACAGAATTATCATCAGTATTGAGCAAATTCTGCAACACCTAATTCATTACATGTTGCTATCACAGCAAAAAATAATAGAGTACAAAACTTAACTGGCTTAAAGAACCAATGGAGTTTAATTTCATTTGCTTGCATTCAGGGCTCTCCATTGCTTCACCCCCACCCTGCCTCTACATCTACCTTCACCTTCCTCCTGCTTTCTGGCTTCTGTCAAAGCTCCTCTTCATATTGTAACTTTTGTCTCCTTTGATCACACAAGAATTTGAACTTTTTTTTCTGGCAGCTGTTCAGCTATGGCCTCCTGTTGCACCTTTGTCCTGGTAGGAATTTAGCCTATACGCTCTTCAGAGTAGGGACCTGTTAATTATTGGCAGCTCACTTAGGGTGCAGCACCATGAACATCAATGGTGCTACATAAATAAACAAAACTTTTAAAAAAACCCAGACTGTGTATCCAACATTTTCTGGGCACAGGCCATGGTTTAAGTACAACCAGAGAATCAATCTAAAGACTGGCAGAACCACAATGTCCAATTCTTTCAAAGGCTGCATCTGGAATTTTGGTTCAGGCATGTCTCTAATTAGATCAGACAGTCCACAATGATGATCTAAGCAGCCCCCCCTTTACTACACATCCCAAACATAATCCATAAACACTCTACCCAGGGTCCAAACTTGAGCAAACACTTTACCAAAGAGATGTCTTGCATTGATGGTCAATAGAGATAAATTTTGTTAGCAATGCAATGTTCTAATGGTCCCTGCTGGCCATAAACTCTGTGGATATTAAAAGACTTAGCAATTTGCTTTCCTGTGATTACTCTGGTCCCATTGTTCAGACTGATGACATTACCCTAACAGCTTCCTATAATCTTTCATCTTCCCTCTATTTAATTAACGCCAGTTTTCTTGACAGTGTTTCTAAAGTAAAATCTGAATCTGCATATTGATATCAGAGCAGTTTAAAATATGGATCATAAACCAGGAATTTTGATCTTGGGGAAAAACTCCCAAAAGCAGCTCTCAGGAATGCAGGTAGAGAAGAAGAAACTTGTACAAGATGAATTTGCTTAAAGTGCTCAGACTTTCGGTTCATGCGTGTTGCTCAGGTTCAGTGACTGCAGCATGTCACCTTGAGCCACACAGTCACTGTAACTGGTAATAAAAGACTAACTGGAAACCCTTTGGATGTTAACAGTCTTGTTGCACATGTCTTTTATTATCTTCAGCATCAGCTACTGACACACAATCTGGAGTTTTCAGCTTTATGATGAGTAACTTCCCATGGGGCAGCAGCCACCATACAGTGATTGAAATGAATCCCAAATGACTAAGATTACACTGGGGAGAATTACAGGCATCATTTGACTCCCATGTATGTGCAACAAAGCAAGACCCATCTGATTTTGCTGCATTTTTAGCAGGGGATTATATCTTGAACACTTTGCTCAAAGGACACCACTTATGACCACTTAGTAAGGACACTAACCTTACATATGACCCTCATGATGCAAAGCACATTTCACAACAATTTCTGTCAGCATGTAGATTTACAGCTCTTAGAAAAATCATCTTTTAAAGGGTAAGTGAATTAGCCTTCATTCTAGCAGAGCTGCTATTCCATTATAGTACAGCGTGTTATACTTTCAGAGGACTGTACAAACATTAACTAGTTAATCCTCACAACCCCCTGGATAAGGTATATAAGGAAGTACTATTATAGATTGTGTCTGATCAAGTACAGTTAAAGGCAGGTGGCAATGGAGTCACTTAACTTTTTTGTTGTTGCATTACAACCATTTTGGCCTTCTATTCTGAACTCATTCTGATGAGGGCTTTTCCAGATTAATTTCCAACACAGCTGAATCTACTGCCACCTGGTGACCTAGCAAATAACTACAATTGATCTTTTTTATAAAGCTTGCTAATAGTAAATGCAACAATCACATCTGTATCACTCCTTGGATGTGCTTTGCTGTCAGGTCACAGAAGTGCAATGTATTTGCCGCAAGCGGCTTTACTGCCCTTCCATGTTTGTGGGTCAGTTACTGTACCACAGTGTGACTCACCGCCACACATGCCTCCTGCTGGACACTTTGGGAATTAGCATTTCAGCTCTGGAGTGCCCCCTTTTAGCTGGTAACACCCACTGTTAACTATTTTTCTCCACCTCTGTATTACTAGGACCCACATCCGTCCCAGACTATAGCATCCTCTCCTCTCGGTACGTCCTATCACAGCATCCCTGTGCTCTGGGGTCCTCTTCCTTAGCAAACCTTCAATTCCCTATCCCCACCTTGCTTCAGTGACCCACTGCCAGTCTTCATCTAGTCCCTTACCTCGGTGGCAAACTGCAGTCTGAAATGGCCACTCATCATTGGTAAGGGGGTGTGGACCTGCTGCTTTTGCCTATCCTGGCTAAGGTTGCCAGGTATCTGGTTTTCACCCGGACAGTTCGGTATTCAGGCCCCCATCTAGTAAAAGAAACAAAAAATACTGGACATGTGAAATGTCCGGTATTTCCTGTTTCCCTCGGATGGAAGCCTTGGGAGGGGGACGACAGTTTTCCCCTGACACATCTGTGGGGATAGGGGTGTTACGGAGCGTGAGGCCATTTAAAGGCGTAGCGCCTTTTTTTTGCTCAACAATTTCGGTTCCCCTCTCCTCTCCCGCCCTTCTTTTTTTTTGCTCAACCAAGTTTGGCATGTTTGGATTTTTGTTGAAAGCATCTGGAAAGCCTAATCCTGGCTGCCTCTCTGCAGCCCTAGTAGCCTCAGGCCTTGCAGCTTGGGATTTTGCCTGGCCAGCATCCCCAGCCCTGCTCTAAGTCAGGAAGTTTCTAACTTTCCTAGCAGTTAGATCCTTCCTACTCCACAGCAAGAGTGAGTCTGTCTCCACTCAGACTCCAAGAGCCTTTATTTATACTGCCCTCAGCTGGCTCCTAATTAGCTCCTACCTGCCACAGCTGCTAGCTCCAGAGCTCCTCTCCAGCCCTCTCCCAGGGCTGGGGTTTAACTCTTAAAGGGCCAGTGCGGGACAGATGCCCCATCACAGTTACTCACTTGTCATTGATCTGGATATAAGGATCCTCACACTTTACTGGGTCTAGACATTTGTATCCTCCTTGGATATTGAAACAGGTTTGCTGTGTAGTACAAGTGAAGTTTCTAGTTTCACATTCATTGATATCTGAAACACAAAAACGAGAGAGAGGATAACATAAGGAAAACTCTACAAAATGCCACCTTGTAAAGCCTAGTGGCTGGAGCACTGAACTGGGCCTCGGGAAACCTGGCTCTGCCACTGACTTGCTGGATGGGGGTTATGACACTAGCCTTCTTTAAAAAGTGTCGTGAGAGCTAAGGATGTAGACAGCTATATAATAGTTAGATATCAGTTATTTGCATAGCCAAAGTGACATTAGATTGATTGATAGCAGAGGGTTAAGTATAAGCAAGGCTTTACTCACACTAGTGAGCACTTCCTACAGATTGCCCCATTCACCTTAATAGGATCACTCATGGAAAGAAGCGCTCACCAGCATTACGCAACAGACCCCGTAAGAAGATTTCCTACCTTTTGCAATGCCAAGATCAAGCAAACATCTCAAGTCTTGATTCTCAGTGAGTCAACTTAATTTTCCTTCCAGAACTATGAGCTATTTCCTGTTTGGTTGGGTTTCAATTCACGGCTGGAATGTTCTTACCTTGGCAGCTTCTGTTATCATCAAGCATAATATAGCCAGGAGGGCAGGAGCAGTAGTAAGAGCCGGGCTCATTCACACACTGGTGCTGGCAAAGGAACTCGGAGAAGCTGCACTCATCCATGTCTGCAGTGGTAGAATGAAGTGTAGAATGCTTTGTGTTAAAAAGAAGTCCTGAAAGAAGTCCAGCCTAATGACAGAGCCTGTCACAACAAAAGTTCTTAGATCATGGTGTTTGCTATTCAGCTCAGTTTAACTGGCCTGATTCAACTTTGAATATGACTCACAATAGCCAAGATTGAATGTAAATTATTATTTTACTTAAAAAAGGGAAATGGCCTAATTTGCTATTGTTTACTAAGCCTCACCCATGTCAAGCTCAACCTACAACAGTTAGTAAATGAAAATGAAAATGAAACCCACTCTCAGGAGATCTTCCGGTAGGCAAGCCTGTCTAGAAATGGGACTCTAGCCTGAATTAAATGTAGATTGGCACCTTTCTATTCAATATACCTGCTCTGAGTGTGTATCAGTCAGGGTGGCTTACTTGTCTGATTGACATAACTGTCCAGTATTTCTTTCTTTTGTTAGCTCACAGAGCTAAGAGGCAGTGATCTGGATTTTATTCCTTTGTATGTATCCTGAAGAGAACTGTTTGTTACTTGTCACTCAGCATATAGTTTGACCCGCAGAAGTTTTATTTCTGGTGATGATGGAAGGAACTTGACTCTCGGGTTCCCAGATGATTTTTTAAAAATGGTTTAAACTGACTTCCTCTGATTTGCGTCATGATAGACATGGATGTCCAGGGGGCCATTTTTAAACAACTACTTTTTAGAATAAAATATCTCAGAAAAACATGTGGCCACAAGTCATCCCAAGGCTCCTAGGCCATTTTTATTCTGGGTCAGCGCTACTATGCAACTGAATGTTGCTGATCAAGGCGGTGAGGTGGCCAATGATTAGTGTTTCTGTATTTTTAAAAATACAGCCTATTTTGTTAGTTCTGCTGGGAGACTGTGGTAAAACTGACTGGAGTGCACAGCAGGACTTCATCAGTGCCACTTTTAAAGCTCTTTGATAGGTATAATTAATTCTGTGGTGTCACCAAAGTATACATACACCTGAGGGTCCATTCCTGCATGCCTTGTGTACTCAAAGGCATCTGTTTAGGGAGGGATTTGGTGGGTGAAGAACACAGGGTCAGACCCACAATGACCAACTGATAGTTCTCAGTGCAGCTACACAGGGGACTTAGATTTCATATAAAGAGCTGATGATAGCTGGTAGCGAAGGCATTCAGCACCTTCTCAGCTCAGGAGCATAGTAGTAGAAGCATGCCCTCCGCTAACCAGCACATACAAGGGGAGGAAGTAGATGAATGAAGAGCAGTAGCCTTGCAAACAATGTAATCCATCTATGTCATCTGCTCTGTTTGGGGTGTCAATGCATCCAACTGAAATGTTACTTCATAACTTTTTGATTAAGCTTTCTCCACATGTGAGGAAGCATTGAATGAAAAGCTGGAGAATAAAAGGAGAATTGCTCTTATTTCCTGTATCATCAGAAAACCTGTTTCTGATTGTCCATGTTTTTGGCCATTCACTTACCTCTCACTTCACAGATGGAACTAGCTGTGGAACATAGGTGAGTTTACACAACCCACATATTACAGACCTGACATAGCTCTAATCTAATGAATGGAAGTAAAAGGGCTCTGCTCTGAGAATGTGTGTGTGTGGAGTCTTCCCTCACACCAGTGCTGTAGGTTTTAGTCTAGTTTATAAAGAGAGAAATCTTTTCTGGAAAGCAAAGCCTTCCCTCCAAAAGAGTGACTCCAGTCCCAGCAGAAATGCTGCATCCCACCCTTGCAGCAGCCAGCTCTGGGTTTTTGCCTTGATTCAGTTATTTCCTAGGCATTCCAGTATGGCTTAATAACATCTTCCTATCCCAGTGCAGGTCTACCGGAATGCCTCTAGAGAGCTCCAAACTAGTGAGGAAGCTACGCAGCCTTTCAAATCTTTGATTAAAACCAGAAATGCTGTGTTTTGTTCCATTTACTCTTGATTTGCTAAATCAACATAATTAGCAGAAGTCTGTGTCCAAGGGAGACAACGGAACTTCAATGTTCCACATGGGATCATGTCTAACTGAGGGGAAAACAATAAGAGGAACGTTGTTGTTAATCATTTCCTTATTCCCCTGCTCAATTAATAAGAGAAACAAAGGCTTGAGTTGGAGCCACCAGACCCTGTGTTTTATTTCCGGCTCTGACACACTGACTCCCTGAGCAAATCACTTGAGCTCTCAACTGGATATTCTCTATCTTTAAAATGGTGGGTAACTGTATTTACCTTCCTCACCAGGGTGTTGTAGGGATGAGTAAGTATCTATAAAGTGCTTTAAAGAGAGGAAATGGTTGATAGTGTTGTTGTTGTTGAAGGGGTTTCTTGGCTTTAAGTTATTGGCAGGGAATGTGCAAAAAACATTTGACAACTTGTGTGATCCTGCTAAAGTCAGAATTTGGGCCAATGAGTATGTTTGAACAAGGCAGTATCTCATTGCCAGAAATACTAAGTGTTGCCCCATGCAGGATTGTGAGGCCTAAGTCCCATTTTCAAAAATGACTTTAGACTTTAGGAGACTAACTGCCTCTGACTTTTGAAATTGAGACTTAAACTCTTGAGACGCATTGCAGTGCTGAGCAGAGTAACCCCTAAATACCTTTAAATCTGGGCCCGAATCCCGTTCTTTACAACAAGGCTTTCAAAGAACAAATGCTTAACATACACTGCACGTCACATGCTTATTCTCTCAAACACAACCCTTTACATCTGTTTAATATACATTAAAAAACAAATATTTTCCAGTGAGGTTTTTTCCTTCCAAGAAATATTGGCTGGATTCTCTCATTTAAGCAGACTGTTGGGACACTCACCAAAGAAGTAAGCTTAACTCTTCTTTTTCAATTAAGCTAAACAACACAAGAAAATAAAAATGAGAGAGGGGGAAAGAACAGTACTGTAACAATTTTTCCATAACATGACTACATGTTGGATGGATCATTCCTATCTGATTAGCTTCATATTCTGTTTCTTTAAATCTGTATGGAGAGCCAGGCAGGTAGCTCTGGAAAATGTTTAGGGAAGTTCTGTAGTACAGCAGAGTAAGCGAAATAGCATGTGCTTAAATACCTGTAGAGTTAAGGTAAGTATATTTGCTATATCGGGATAAGAGTAGACTTTGAAATAATGCTATTTTATTTATTCCAACAAAGTTCCTTGGTGAGTGTTAAAAGAAAGCAACTCGTTTCTGTGGTTCTTTACCATTGTCACAGAATAGTTCTAATGTTTAGTCTATTTCTTTAAAACCATTATGAGAAAAAACAAATGCCACTATTGATTTTTATGTGATTTTTGCGTTTACCCTCCTGTTTAACTGAAAGTAGGAAGGGATGAATTGTTCTACTGTATTGGATAAGTAGATATATTCTACTTTTTAACAGTGGACCGTACTTGAAACTTCAGAGGAAGGTATATAAAAATGACACATTACAAAGAATTATTTAAATACAGTAACCCCCTTCCTGCACCCAATCACTGAAGACAGTTACCGCTGCAGCTAATTCCATCAGTTTCCAGTTCATAGCCAGGATCACAGCGACAGAGAAAAGAACCATATGTGTTGACACAGTTTTGCACGCAGGGATTCTGGGCTGTACATTCATTCACATCTGTGGGAAACCAATGATCAGTTTATCAATGACTTCTCCCAAAGCATTGCTTCTAATTAATTAGTACAAACAAACATTAAGAAGGACTTAATAAACTGCTGTGCCAGTATTGGTTTGATTCTCTGGCAAAGATTGACTGAGTTTGTACTGTCTAGCAATACCTTAAAGACTAACAAAACATGTAGTTGGTATCAGAGGGGTATCTGTGTTAGTATGGATCTGCAAAAGTGACAAGGAGTCCTGTGGCACCTTATAGACTAACAGATGTATTGGTGCATAAGCTTTCGTGGGCAAAGACCCGCTTCGTCTCATGCATGTAGTGGAAATTTCCAGAGGCAGGTATAAATATGCAGGCCAGAGTAAGGCTAGAGATAATGAGGTTAATTCGGTCAGAGAGGGTGAGGACCACTTCTAGCAGCTGAGGTGGAGGTGTGAACACCAAGAGAGGAGAAACTGCTTTTGTAGTTGGCTAGCCATTCACAGTCTTTGTTTAATCCTAAACTGATGGTGTCGAATTTGCAGATGAACTGTAGCTCAGCAGTTTCTCTTTGAAGTCTGGTCTTAAAGGTATTTTGCTCCAGGATGGCTACCTTTAAATCTGCTACTGCGTGTCCAGGGAGATTGAAGTGTTCTCCTACAGGTTTTTGTATATTGCCATTCCTAATATCTGATTTGTGTCCATTTATTCTTTTATGAAGGGACTGTCCAGTTTGGCCGATGTATATAGCCGAGGGGCATTGCTGGCACATGATGGCGTATATTACATTGGTAGATGTGCAGGTGAATGAACCCGTGATGGTGTGGCTGATCTGGTTAGGTCCTGCATGGATTGGTTCCTGAGTTAGAGTTACCGTGGTGCGGTGTATAATTGCTGGTGAAAATTTGCTTCCGGTTGGCGGGTTGTCTGTGGGCGAGGACTGGCCTGCCTCCCAAGGCCTGTGAAAGTGAGGGATCATTGTCCAGAATGGGTTGTAGATCACTGATGATGCGTTGGAGAGGTTTTAGCTGAAGACTGTAGGTGATGGCCAGTGGTGTTCTGGTGGTCCCTACATAAAAGAAACCAACAGGACCTAACCAGATCAGCCACACCATCACTGGTTCATTCACCTGCACATCTACCAACGTTATATATGCCATCATGTGCCAGCAATGCCCCTCGGCTATATACATCGGCCAAACTGGACAGTCCCTTCATAAAAGAATAAATGGACACAAATCAGATATTAGGAATGGCAATATACAAAAACCTGTAGGAGTAGCAGATTTAAAGGTAACATCCTGCAGCAAAAAACCTTCAAGACCAGACTTCAAAGAGAAACTGCTGAGCTACAGTTCATCTGCAAATTTGACACCATCAGTTTAGGATTAAACAAAGACTGTGAATGGCTAGCCAGCTGCAAAAGCAGTTTCTCCTCTCTTGGTGTTCACACCTTCACATCAGCTGCTAGAAGTGGGCCTCACCGACTCTGACTGAATTAACCTCGTTATCTCTTGCCTTACTCTGGCCTGCATATTTATACCTGCCTCTGGAAATTTCCACTACATGCATCTGATGAAGCAGGTCTTTGCTCATGAAAGCTTATGCTCCAATACATCTGCTAGTCTATAAGGTGCCACAGAAAACATGTAGATGGTATCATGAGCTTTCGTGGGTGAAATGGGTTGTGCCCACGAAGGCTCATGATGCCATCTACATGTTTTGTTAGTCTTTAAGATGCTGCTAGACTATTTGTTGTTTTTTAAGCTTTTCCTATTACAGACTAACTCAGTTACCCCTCTGAAACTTTTGAGTTTGTATTGTTACTGGTATTTAAGGCTGATGAATTGTAATGAAAAAAGTGATTGAAAACACAAGACATGTAAAGCAATTTTGAACATCTTCACTAATGATGTTGATGAAGCATTAGGTAGCATTGAATATGAGATTAGAGAGTCTCATATCTAGTAAGTCTGATAACACTTGAAATCGCCCCTAGCGAGGAAAGAGGATCAATTACAACTGAGACTTTGTGGGGGAAAAGCTGCTTGATTTGTCTATGATCAAAACATAACAAGAAACACTGGGATAAACTATCTACTGCAGATGCTTCCTTGTTTATCTAGTAATTATACAGTTCTCCAACTGATTTTATCTGAGCAAGACCAAGCCAAAAGCAGCAGGATAAATCTAGTGAATGATGATGTAATAAGGAAATGATCCTTATAGAAACCTCTTGCTACCAGAAAGCAAAACTGTCCTTTTAGGACACTAGAAACTCCTGGAAGTTCTTTATCCCATTAACACAGGGTCATTTCCTGAGAGGCCGCTTTGAAGTATTTTACTGTTCAAGAACAGAATATAACGTTGATCATGAGATCACAAAGGCTCTGATCCAGCAAGGCACTTAAAGCACATTGGAAATGAAGAATGGTCCAACAGAACATGTAGAAGTGGATTGAATTTCCTGCTCTGCAACCTTGGGCAAATCATTTCATCTCTCTATCTCTCTTCTCCATATGGAAACTGGAGCTAATGGTACTGTCCTGCCTGACAGGGTGTTGTGAGTACAAATGCAGTAAGGATTAAGAGGGACGCAGATACTACAAAAATGAGGAGTCCTGTGGCACCTTAAGGACTAACAGATTTTTCTGGGCATAAATTTTTCTGACAAAGTAGGCTTTAGTCACAAAAACTTATGCCCAAGTAAATCTGCTATTGGCACCTTAAGGTGCCACGTGACTACTTGTTTTTGCAGATACAGACTAACACAGCTACCCCTCTGAGACTCGTCAGATACTACAGTGATGGGAGCCATATAAGTACCTACAGGAATGATTACCCTGCAAGCTGAAATTCTAGCACAAGGAGCTACACCTGCAGGATCAAGCGAGCATACTAAAAACAGACTGCAGTTGCAGCACCAGGGACTAGCTGCCCTGAGTACATGCCTAACAACTTGGACAGAGATGTACGTGGGGCAGCTAGCTGCTCACAGCATTGTGGCTATGCTGTATTACCAGTTCATTAGAGCTAGCATAGTTGTCTCTCCTCCTGCTCCAAGAGTAGACATGCCCAATAGCAGACAGTGTTAACACATGTGAAGTCAGCAGGATATTCATGTTCTTAAAGTTTCACACATGCTTAAGTGCTTTGCTGGTTTGGGGCCAACAGTGCAGTAGTTATTGCCTGCATATAGTACCTTGGCATGATCTTCCATCATCATTAAGGGTAAAACCTGGATTGCATGTACAGGAGTAGGAACCAGGTACATTGGCACACAGCTGCTGACAGTAGCCATAGCGACATTCGTCTATGTCTAAAAATAAAAAAAAGATGCAAAGATTGTAGTTATTCTTGTCATGCAGCACATTAGATAAAGTCATGTAATCGTAGGACTAAAATCTACTCATCAGGAAGGAACAGATTAATATATAATACTCTGACTCCACATCTTGAACAGCCAAAGTCTGAAGTGTTCAGGAAGAAGGTTGTTCAAGTCCATCTCTTTCCAAGACAGCACAACAATACATTTTATTATAAAAGTATGCTGAAATATAATTATGGGGGCTGATGGGTTCTATTGTCAGTTGCCAATAATTCTGCTCAATGCTTTATTGTCTAAAAGCCCAAAACACACATCATTCATATCTATGCTCGATTTGTGTCTGATAGCTTATAGTGAAGAGCACAAAATATTACTCTGTATTTTTGTAATAGTTAGATTGTAATCCTGGTAATTGACACACACATCAGGTCTCCTCATATACCAATGTGAGCAGGATTTGGCCCCAAAAGCTGCTTTTAGTCTTATATGTGGCAATCTTTAAATATTTTTGTAATCCTGAAAACTATTTTTATGGGACTGTTTTCATGCGTTTACGAGGAAGCTTTAAAATATAAGAATTCATAGTTTCACTAAAATAACAGTTTTTGTTGAACTGCAGCATTAACAATCATTACATTTGTCTGTCATGAGTAAGAGACAAGATTGAAAGATACAAGCACAATGTGAATTTACTCTGGGATGGCACTGGAACCTAATAAACATTATTATGAAAGTTAGAGCTTTACTCCTTGCTTCAGAGCAGAAATAAAACACCTGATGAATTGTCTCTTTTGTGGCTATTCATTTTCTTTTCGATCAGTTGCCTTCTGATTTATGGAGTTCGTTTTTTGATTACCCTCAAGACTTCATGACCTTCCAATAGTTATTCAAAGTTTATGACCCTCCTTATGTTTTTCTACATGGCTGATTCAAATAAGTTCTTAGAGCAAACACTGCATTGATTTTCAACTTCCATCTCTAGTGACAACCCAAGCCTTGTAGTGACAGTGCAAAGACGATATTGGAAGACATTTCCCATATGAGTGCTTCCTGTAAACAAGGTCATGGATGAATGGCTTACAGGAACAGCAACTCATTCTTCTCTCTCTTTGTGCCCCTCTCTCTGTTGTTTGTTTGAGCTGGAAAGTACTGCTGTGTTTTTAGAAAATCTATAATTATATAAAAGTCTGTGGTGAGCTGGAAAAATAACAACTAAGTTTGCTGGAAGCTTAACAGACTTGCACTTGGAGAACCAGAGATGAGCTTCCTCAAAACTGTATCTCTTAGGCTCCTCAATGGTATATTAAAGGATAACATCACTAAGACAGATAAACACAGCTAGATAGGGCTGATTCTTGGCTGAATGTCAAATAGTGCTGAGAACTATGTTGGTCATGGAATTCAGTGAAAATTGTGAGTGCTGAGCATCTCTCAAAGTCAGGCCATGTGTCCAGAAACTTTTGAAAGCTGCATTTTCTGAATTTGATTTTCTGGGCTGATTCTTATTCACTAACTCACAAAGGCCCATCTACAAGGCCTGCATCTTCTCTCTGCCATACCACTTTCATTCTGGTGCAAATCCTTTGATGTAAATGGAGTTCCACTGGCATAAGCCAATGAGACTTGCTCTCTTCCCTCTGCTTGCTAGGGTAAGTAAGGAAAGCAGGAATTGCCCTTTAGGGTGTCAGGTATTTCAGAAGTCTCTCCAGAAGTTGTGACACATTTGAAAATCAAAATACTGATAGTTTCAGTTTTGTCTCTGTCACACACATGCACAAACTACACTTCATTGTTCATCATTCATCATGTACTTTTTAGCATAATATCAACATTCTCTACTATCTTCAAATCGGTTTAGGGCTGTCAAGTGATTAAAAAATTTAATCGCGATTAATCACGCGCGCCTCCCCTTTGAAATACTGCTGTGGCATTTCAACGGGGCAGCGCTGCATGGAGCTGAGGATCAGCCGGAGTCCCCAGCTGACCCCAGGCTCCATTCACCGCTACCCCTTTGACGTGCCAGGGCAGCGCTTCCAAGGGGCAGTGCAAGGTGGAGCCCAGGGTCAGCTGGAGTCCCCAGCTGACCTCGGCTCCATGCAATGCTGCCCCTTTGAAGCACCAGGGAGGCATTTCCAAGGGGCAGCACAAGGCATTCCACGCAGCATTTCAATGGAACCTGGGGTCAGCAGTGAAGGTGGCATTTCAAAGGAGTAGCTGCCACATAGCTGACCCCCGGAGCAGCACTTCAAAGGGGCAGTACAGCATTAATACCTGCGATTAATGCATTAAAAAAATCAACGCATTAATCCTGCCCTGTGTTAATTGCAGGGATCAACACATGTGAGTTGACAGCCCTATGTTTCTGGTTTGGATTCTAAGCCGAAATTAGGTGTTGAAGTCTATCTTATCCAATTGAATATCTGAATAATTTCAATACTGAGATGATTTTATATCACCTTGAAGAACAAACAATACTGTGTAGCTTCTAGCTGGCTAGTTCCAATTTATCAGGTTTAAGTTTATGGATTTGTTGTGGCTATTTTAGCAAAGAAATAGCTCAGGAAGCTAAGTTATTCAGGAAAAAAGTAATGGAAATATAATGTTCAAAAGCATTAAGGGGCATTAATTTTCATCTGTAATAGATTTATTTTCTATTTTAGTCCAATATCAAGATGACCCAGATGCCAGTGACAGGTGTGTCATATAAACAATCTAGATAGATGGATAAAACCCTAACCCTACAAAATTTTTATACACATTCTCAACTTTAAACACGAGTACTTCTGTTCTCCTCAATGGGACCACTCACAGCACTGAAAATTTAGACACATGCTTACGTCTTTTCAGGACCTACAATTGTAAAATCTTCAAGATGGGGACTTTGTTTTTGTAGGAAGCCATTTTGTGACTGTCCCCTCTTGGCACCACTTTGTTACTACTGTGCTGGCACTTACTAGCTAAATGTTAAATAGCAACAACAACAATTTGGTTAGACAGATGCGGTATTCAACAGTGAAGAAATGTACCAGGAGAGACTGCCCTTGTAAACTCAATCCAACCCTACAGATACTTTTAAATTATCTTTTTTCCCCCCTATCCCCAGTGGAAATGGATTCTGCAGAGCCTTTGGGAAAGTACAGAAAACTGAGAGGAGTTTTTTCAGCACAGATTTTCTTGTTACATGTTTGCATTGTTTTGTGGTGACCTGCCCGCCCTGACTCAGAGTTACCTAAATCAAGCATTGGGATGTTATTGTCTCTTTAAAACAGGATAAACAGATATTCTTGGGCAAACTCAACTCAGTGGAGCAACTGCTATGGGTCTCTGATACTTAAACCAAGCATCAAAGTGTCTGAATTCTGACTCAGGGCCAAATTCTGGTTCCAACACATAGCTCATGCACCTTGTGAACTACATGGGAATCATCACAACCCAGGGCATGATGCAGAGCACCCCCATACTTCCATGCACGGGATTAGCCCAGTGCATTCATAATATCAGAGATCACTCGCTAGCCCCAACTCCCCACTTCAAGAGCAGTGCTGAGGAGTCACACAGAGAAGTGCTTAAGCTTCTCCCATGGGTCGTGATGTCAGTTTATCTCTTGTACCACTATATGCACACATCAGAATCCCAAATTGTCCACAATAATGGAAGATTTTTAACACAGAAGAAATATGAAATGTATGGAATGTGGGAGACCCATAATAATAATCCAACTTCAGTTATCAAAACATTGGGGAGACAGAAAGAGACCCTAATTATGACTGAAATGCATTGGATTAATCAAACACACGCTGGTTTTCCAGAATCACTCTAGAGAAAGCATATCAGCACTCCAGAAGAACATACCTAAACACTGGCCTTCCAAGAGCCAATAGCCCTCAGTGCAGGAGCAGGTGTATCCTCCTTCAGTGTTTATGCAGATCTGGGTGGGGTTACACTGGTGTGACTCGGAAGCACATTCATCGATATCTGAAACACAGAAAGGTGCCAACAAAGCTTTATATAATTATTAAAACAAATATTGAGTTTATTTTCATTGTATGAACACATGCACTATATCAGAAGATGAATCTGAGAATAAAGCTGAGGCAGTTGGACTATACGGAGTGATTTTGAATGTTCTCAATGTTTGACACATTGCACAGAAATCATTAAAAAAATCCAAATTGTAAAGTGCTGAAGTCAATGGGGAAGATACTTCGCACCTCTAAGAAAGATCACAGATCCCTTCAGGATGAGTCTTATAAAAGAAGTGATCAAAAAATCAGTTTTTCCATCCCACGGGACATTTTTGGTGGCTGCATTAAAAAGATTAATATCAACCTACCCAAAACAAAACATTTCAATTTCCCTGATGTCTTGTTGAAAATGTCAATGAAACCCGATTTTTCAAGAGGAAGAAGAGCTCCGTGTAGGCTTGAAATCTTGTCTCTCTCACCCACAGAATGTGGCCCAATAAAAGGTATTACCTTACTCACCTTGCGTCTCTCACCCACAGAATGTGGCCCAAAAAAAGGTATTACCTTACTCACCTTGCCTTTCTAATAGGAAAATATATCACTCACAAAACAATAACTAGCCTTACTATTTTCAATATGTTTGGCATTTGGAAAACCTCTTTGGGGTTTTCAGTTGGCTTGCAAATAACACTTCAATATTCATATAAGCTGGGATACAGTAACCTAAATGATTAAATATGGCACCACTAGAACCCTCAGATTGACCCTAACACTGCACTTTTTCACCCATCCATTCATGTGATACCTTAATGCATTAGGAATTCCAGCAGATCATAGCAAACAAATGTCTGCACATCCACCAAGACCTTAATAATGTCCCTTACCACCACTTGAAGTCATGTAAGCCCTTTCAGATCCATGTTTTTAATCTGCATCAATGCAACTTCAACTCTGACACTAGGAAAGACAAATGGAGTTTACAAGAAGTTACAAACACCAACGCTGAAGATCTCCTTCCATCTCCTGTGAAGCTCCTGGGCAACCCTAAAACACTTCCACACAAACCACGGGAGATGGAGTCAATTACTGCACAAATGGAAACTTAAAGGCTCTCCAGTGTGCAATAGTGGTCATGCAGAGCAGACCATGGAACGTACATCGCAATGCCTGATTCACAAATACAAAGGAGGCATCAGAGCAATACATTCTGCTACTCTTGACACAATTATCTGGATCAACTATCTGAATGTAAAATTATAGTCATTACTCAACATCTACATCAGCCTTACAAAGAAGAAGAAGATAGAAAAAAATGCATTTCAGAAGCATGAGTTCAGTTTGAATCTCTCCTTGTCTAGAATCGTAACCAATGTTTCAGGCATTGTGTATGGCTTGAGAGATCAGATACAGAAAATCAAATGATAAATGGTAACATTCTTTCAGCTAACTTAGAAGCCTATGCTTTGTTAATGATTTTTAAATTAATCTTGATTCCATCATACGATGATTCCATCATCAGCTGGCCTGCGCTGAGTTACGTCATCAAATTGATATTACTCCCTCAAATCCTCCCTGGCTGTTTTGTTATCCCCAACTCTGTTGAGTCATGACTGACACCTGCTTGTAAGCTAGGGATCACACCTTTGCATCTATCTCATGAGGTATAGAGTGCATTCCAGTTGCTATAAAACAATAGCAATAGAAATACTGATCCACACAGACTTGCTGTATTTAATGTATACTTAAATGAGTGGTACACTTTCCACAGCCATCATGTGTTATTTGTCTTCTTATATCGAGAACTCCATAGGGCTTCTCTATTACTGCAAGTAGACGTCAGATCATGGATACCAGCCAAATACAGATAGTAGATAACAATTATGTTAATGTGTTTTTCATCAAAATGCTTTCAGTTTTTTACTTGCACTTTTTATTTTAAAAGCAGGACCTTGGGACCCCGCCAGCCACGAGTGCTGTTGCCCACAGCAAGCTCTTGGTGGGGCTTGGCCCTGTGCCTCACAATAGACTGCATTCAGGCCATGCCTTGATTACATGCTTACAAAAATACAACTTGGCCCAAAGTGAGGGCAGGAGAGGTTTCTCAAGGTATTATGTGGCACCAATAGTGTCTGAAGTAGGAATGTAAAATCTCAAGTAATGACTTAACCACTTAACCGGGATCCTTCAGGCAGTGGGCCCAGCTGGGCTGAAGTGGCTCCCTGTCCGTGGCACAGTGGGCCCAGATAGGCTGGAATGGCCCCCCACCCATGGCAAGGCACGAGTGGAAGGCTGCTCCAGCCCAATCAGGCCCACTGTGCCTCAGGCTGCTCGAGCCCAGCTGAACCAGAGTGCCCTCCTCCCATGACACCATGGGCCCAGCAGAGCTGGAGCGCCACTAACCTGCATCAGGCAGGGGGCTGCTCCAGCCTAGCCAGGCCATTAGTTAACCAGTTACTGGTAAGCAACACCTGTTAACCAGTTACATTCCTAGTCTGAAGAGTATGACCTTCCTTCACTGTTTTCTCTTCATTCTTTATACACAGTAGCTTCCCCTCTAAACTCAGTACCCCCCAGTACTCTCTTAACTCAGGTCCTAGAAGCAGGCATAATTTGCCTTCATCCAAAACAGAGCACTGCTCTGACATCAGCTCTCCTCTGTGTATTGACCTTGTGAAGAAATTGCTGAAGAGTTACATGGAACGTATTTACTCCAAGAGTATGTCTACACTGCAAAGTTAATTTGAAATACCAGCCGTTATTTCAAATTAACTTTAATAGCGTCTATACATGCAAACTGCTATTTTGAAATTAATTCGAAATAGCGGAGCACTTAATTCGAATTTGGAAAACCTCATTCTACGAGGAGTAACGCCAAATTTGAAATAGCTATTTCAAATTAAGTGCTGTGTAGACACTTAATTCAAAATAGGGGGCCTCCAGCCCTTCCCAGGGA